ATACCAAACTCCAGCTACGTGAATAAGGTAGCTGAAGTCGAAGTATCTCAGTTCGAACTACAAGGTACTTACCGCAGGTCCACACGTGGCAGGCAGGCTCCCCCGTCGACTCCGTGTACTCCTCTCGTGGAGCAGGAGTACCGGTGTCGACGGCAAGCACTTCCAGGATCGATTTATCGTGTCTAGACAAGACACGATAAATCGATCCCAGAAGATCGATTGCTTACCACCGAACCCGGAGGTAAGTATAGACGTACCCTAAGGTTAAACAAGTACTCCTGTTCTTTTTGAGGATACAGACTAACACGGCTGCTACTCTGAAACCTTAAATAACAAAGACTCCCCAAAGAAACAATCAATCAGACCAAAAACAGCGAATGGGAAAGATAGGGACCAAAGCATCACTTACATCACTAATGACCAGGGACAATTCCTAGCCTGCTCACTTGGGTACCCACAAGTAATTAGGAACCATCTCCTGTGGGGGGATAGAATATTTTATTCCTATGTTGTTTCCAGCAAAAATTAAAAGATCCATGTGACTTGTGTCTGCATGGAGAAGTGCATTAGCCAGACAGCATAGGAGACCTAGTACCTAAGCCAGGGCTTCTCAACCCAGGGGTCAGGAACAGGTGTCAGAAGGTGGAGACCACTCCACTCTACGTATATTGCTAAATGCGAGGGTTGTCTTGGCTATTTCTGTTTATATTGGATCAGCACCCCATTGTACTAGGAGCTGTACAAGCACAGAACAAAGAGGGAGAGGATTGTGTGTGCGTGGGTGTCCTGGTGCAGAAAAGGGGAGCCCAGTGCAGGGGGCCTGGAACAATTTGTATAGTGGGGGTGTTGAGAGCCAATTCCAGCATCCCAAGTTCCAGCACTTATGGCCCAGTATGGAAAAGGTTGAGACCCACTAATTTAAACTAGCCCACAATCAGGGCCGTCTCTAGGGGGGTACGGGGCCCGGGGCGGAAGTGACGGATTCGTCTCTTCCGGGACCGACTGCGCTGGCCAATCGCACCGGCCCACGGGGCCCCCCAAAGTGTGGGGCCTGGAGCGGTTGCCCTGATTTGCCCTACCCAAGGGACGGCTAGGGCTGTGCAGCATAAACTGTTCATCCCAGAATAACAATGAATAGGTGTTCGGGTCAAACCCAGTTGCCTTCCTTACCACATAAGGCCACATTAATCTGCTCTCCAGGGTTTCTGCTTTATGTTCTTGAGACATATGAGCTCACCATGGCATGCGACTGATTATTAGTTTCTATTTGCAGAGGCTTCTCAACACACTCTGCTGATCTAGGGAACTCTTCAGTGGGCTGCCTCCAACTCGCTCAGATTTGGTCCGACTGCCCCTCCCTTATGACAAAGGGGTGGCTGGGCCAAATTTGAGGCAGTGGCATTGGGACCTGGTGCAGGGGGTTGCACTGCCACTCAACATTTGGTCTGGGTGCCCTAGGCAGCTGCCCAGTAATCGGCCAACCTAGGCAGCTACATAGCTTGCCTATAATTAGAGCGGCCCCTGTCAATTTGCATTGCAATAGTTTCCTGAGCCCACAATCAGGATTGGGTGCCATCGTGTTAGGTGCTGTACGAGCGAGACAATCCCTACCCCAAAGAGTCTCGAAAGGCCACATTTGCCCATAGGGGCTGGAACTAAGGGTGCTGCACCCCACGGCCTGACGTGGTTTCCATCCTATCCAGGGTTTACAGTTTGGTTCAATGGCTCTCAGCCCCCCACTATACCCACTGTTCCAGCCCCCTGCATTTGCCTGTGGGAACCCAGTCCTGTCGGCCACGCTGCCCCGCCATTGTGAAACCCAGCTAACCCGTTGCTTTCTCTGGCTGACTGCCTCAGGGCTTTGTTTGCAACAACAGCAAGTCCCAGCGGGGTGCATGGGCGGAGCAGCCTTTGCATCAGCGCGCCCCCCCCCAGCCACAGGTCTGACAGCTGGTCCCAGCCCAGGTCACTTTAACTGGGGGGGGGGAGGGGAGGGATGGCTGCAGACGGTCCCTAGTTCTCTGTTTGCATGGACACGCCCCTTCCCGCCACTGCCACGCCCACTCGGCGCGTCGGGAGGGGGAGAGCCCGAGGCGGAGCCAGCCCCCGGGAGAAAGGCGCGCGCTGTGCGCGGCCCCTTTAAGACCCGCCCGCCCCGCCTCTTCCCTCGCCGAATGTATCGAATCCGGTGGGCGGGGCCCCGGCCCGCGTTGCCGCGACCAATCAGAGCGCGGCCTTTTCCGCGGGAGATCCGAATTTCGCGGCACGTCGTTTGGCGCTTAAAAAAAAAAAAAAAACCCGAAGGAGCGAGCGGAGCCGCG